GCACGCACGCACGCACACACACACCCACACACACACACACACACACACACACACACACACACACACACACACACACATGCACGCACACACATATACCGACACACACGCACACACACACACACACACACACACACACACACACACACGCACACACGCACACACACACACACACACACACACACACACACACACACACACACACACACACACTTCCCATAACCTTGGTCCGCCACAGCGTGCTTGGAATCAATCAGCGTTGAGATATGGCTGCCGTCATGGCTGTGGCCAATTTTGGCATGCAAGGTTCCCCTTAATAGACAAAGAGATGAAGATCAATAGTCAATTTGGCCTTGGAATGAGTCGCCAAGGGATCAGGCAAAATTCATCTCTCAAAACTCTATTTTCTCTGTTTTTTTGTTTTTTCTATTGTGGAGAAATCGCAAAAAAACAATGATGAGTATTCAGAAACTGTACAGTAAAAAGGAGAACTGTTATACAACTAACATTGGTGCCTAAAACATTTGGAAATATTAAAGAAAATCTTTTCTTCTTGACCTTCTGACTTTTTTGTTGTTGTTAGTTTTATGAGGTAATATACTTTGAAATGCCTTGTAAATTATTGTTAATTTTTTTTTCAAAATTGTGTTTTTATTAAGAGAATTCATTTTTGTAATTTCAATTTCCTTAACTTTATAGTTAATGGAAACAGTGCAAAATATATTAGGCCTGGATGAGTTCACATGCAGCGACTCCATTTCACTCCTGTCCTGCCAGATCAACAGCAACTTAAAAGCTGCATCATATGAGTTTGAAGAAATTTCTCCATCATGCCTGCTGCTAGCGTGTGCTTGTTCTAAATGAAAATCAGCACTTTCTTCTTTCATTTCCAATTTAGACTTCCAATGAGTCACTTCCTGCTAAAGAGCCCCCTGGTGGTTGAAGAAGAATATACAGAAATACCGCACCGGGCTACAAGCCTCATGGTTCAAAACGTGGGAAAAAAGTAGAGTCGAAAAATATGATACATTTAAATAAGCTTTATAATCTTTAAACCGGTTTCCTCTAAAAATCTTTCAAGAGAAAATAAAAACAGTTACAAAACTCATTAGTTATATTATTTCCCGCCTGATTTGGCATTTTGAGTAGGTGAAGCTGCATATGCTGGGTTATTATAGGCAGGGGTTGGAGGTATTCTTGACATGGCTGTAAATCTGTCCCTGATCCCCGTCGACCTCTCCACAGAACAAAGGAAGTGATTCAATAACGACGTGACACCTGGAGGCATGCAGGCGCACCATGCAGCTTCAGAAGAGATCAGTCATTATGCTTCCTCTCCTTTATCTCCTGTCTGCCTTCCTCTCTGTCGCTCTTCAGACAGGTATTCCTCCAGACTGCAGCAGAAAACACAGATAAATGATTCTCGTCTACCTGAAGGTCCTCGTGCTTTCAGTGTGACGGAGAACGTTTCTTTTGAATTAAACATTTTTATTGATCCAGAGCAATTAGTGCAACACTGAGGGGATAACGCGGCCCTCATAGCTGTATATTAAAGATCACTCCCTTATTAGCTGCAGAGAAATGTGTTTTACTAAGATGGCTGACATTTTATTAGTGTTTCTAGTGTTATACATTAACTTAGAAAGTTTCTCTGTAAAGCATTTTGGGTTTAAAAAATGCCACTGAAATCAGTCAGGTTTATTTTTATAGAGCATTTCAGCAACAAGGCAGTTCAAAGTACATTTTGTCAACTACCATCATTAAAATCATTGATACACATGAAAAATGTTGGTCAATATTCCAGTTATTATGCATTAAATGCATGGATGAGTTTCTATAGAGTTTCTGAGTCTTTTAATCCTGGAAATGTTCATCAGGTGATGGAAGGCCGACTTTGTAACTGTCATTAAGTGTCTCTGAAAGTAAATAGTCACTTAAAGCTGCAAAAATGATAGACTGCTGTGAAACAACGATTAACTGTGTTTCGATTTTTTCTTTTTCATTTGACATAATCTGTTGTATTTTATTTATTACATCAAAAACCTGTTGAATACAGTGATAGGAAGCCACTAAACTTTGCATGGTGGTCAGTTTCTGTTGTTAAGATCAACAAGTTTTACCTTTTTGAGTTCTGCTGTCTGAAAAAAACCTCCAAATCCCAACGTCATCCGTCAAACGGCGGTCTTCTCATGACTTGCATTCAGCAGAATTAACCATTACAATTCGCCCTGCTCTCCACTCTACCTTTGACATACATCACTGTGTCGCGTTTTCAATTCATCATGATTGATTCCATCTGTAAAACCCGGATGACTTTTCCATCCCAGGCCAGGGGGAACTGATTGATCGCCTTTGCGACTGAATCAATGCGATATCATCTGGCAATAAAACAATTTGGAGAGATGTAGTGTGGCATTTAGATGCTTTCATGTCTGATCATATTCAGGGGAAGAAAAATTGAAACTATTATTAAGCTTTTGAGCCATTAAAAAATATCTGAAATGACAAAATGGGTTTCTGAGAGCTAGCTCATGGTTGCTCCTCCAGTTGAACCTGGTGACTTTGCAACTTATGATCCATCACTGTTATCAATTTCATTAAAGCTTCTGCACAGATAAAAAAAAGAATCTCATCTCCAAATGCGATTAATTCATTTGTTTATTAAATGAAACCTTGAAAGTATGCGCATCATGCAACCCACCGCCCCCTAAGCTAATATAATATAAATGTTAATTACTTTTTATACGGTGAGCTGGAGAAACAAATGTTTACAATTGAGAAAATGCTCTCCAGCTTTGAATGCCAGCATGGAAAAGGTCGCAGGTTGTTTCCCGACATACACTTGCTTAGCTTGTACAGAAAAAAAAAAACATATTTACAGACGATGATCTACCGCATAAATCTTTATTAAACATCTTGGTGAGCGTTACTCTAAATTATGTTTACTTTCCATCACTGTATTCCCTGCAATTTGAAAATGCAAATGCTTTTGCAGTCTCACAGCTTGAGAGTGAACCGATCGCATAACGTGGTTCCCAAATGGAAATTACATTTAGTGAAGTGAGTTAATAAACTCCTATAAACATGTAGAGTCATTTTCTGTATGCGTGTCCAAGATGATATAATTGGGGCAGCAAAAATTACTTCTGTAATGATATAATCCAGCCATAATTCATGTTTATGCTATGACGATTTTCCATTTATGCTCTGTTCCAGTTGAACTGGGAAATTCAGGCTTCCCAGTCAAAAAAATCAACTGCAAAACTCTGAAGTCAGATTTTCTCCTGGGAACCAGTTAGGACTTTATGTTTCAACAGTGGAAACATTTATTTTTCAAGTCAAACACGTAAGAGCGACTTAAATCAGCGTTAGATGTTCACTGCAAAAACACAAACTCTACTTTTGGTCTAGTTTCTACTCTAAATGCATTTGGAATCATACAAAAATAATGTACAATTAATTTCAGCAAGATGAAGCAGTTTGTTTTAAGGAAAAGTGTAATTAATATAGATAAAAACAAAACCAGTTCCGCTGAGATTCCACTGATTTATAAATGCAGATTTTCTTAATTATAGTTTTACATGTGAAGCCGATCTTATCTACTTTGATAAAGATCTAAAAATCCTCTTCTGCTCCACCATGAGAGAGGTTTGACTAACAGACCGGCCCACACATTTACAGTTAACAGTAGCCGCCAGTTTCTTGCTATATTGAGCAATATTTTAGACAAAAAAAAATGGGCCAAAATTGGAATCAACAAGTCAGGCTTTTGAATCTGTGATCGGCCAGAAAACTGCAGAAAAAACACCTCATCGTACTGCAACAATATTGTAAATCAAAACATTTGAGCTTTTTTCAAAATTGACATGTTTGCCTTAAGCAAATTTGTTCATGTAATTTCAATTTGTCCAATTAAATAATTAGTGGAAACACATAACTATTCAAAATCCTTAAATAGGTAAAAAAAAAAGACTCAATTTCACTGTAAATACAAGTAAATATTTAGTTTCAGCTCTAATTCTTAACCATAAAATTTACAGTTGTGTGACAAAAAAAAAAAAGCAAAACTAACAAGTTTGAGTAACAAAAGAACATTTTTGTTCAGTATTAAGGAGGTAGATTGATTTCCTTGGTCTGCCACTCCACATTAATCAAAAACGGCTGAACAAACCTATAAATGGTGCAAATTCTCTTGTTCATTTTCACTGAATAGTCACTAACAGAGTCTTCCTTCCTTTACCTCAGAGTTTCCAGTCTTAACTATACAGATGAATAAACTGCAGCCCTTTAATAAGAAGTGAAAAGTTTCGTGTGGAGGTTAAACAGCTGCGTCCAGCCATCCTAAGCGCCGGCCCTGTGGATTTTATTCAGCTCGCTAATTACTTGTTGCATTGAAGTTGGCCCTTGTTAACCTTTAACCATTACCTTTTACTTAGGATAATTGGAGTGCTTTGAATCAGCCATCTGTTGCTGACAGTTCACCTTTGCAGGGTGTAAGTGACAAGTAAGGCCGACATTCAGAACGCAGAAAAAACTATAAAGTCCTTTTCCATCTATCTGAAAACACATTTATGTAAGTCTGTTCATCTCACTGGTTTTCTTAATTTAGGTTGGAAAACTAAACTCTATAAAGGGGAGGTTTAAGTATAAAAATACTTAATTATTTAAGCAGCAATTTCAGTAAAAGTTCCCTTGAAATTGGTGACTTGGTTTGGTTATGGCAACACAGTAAACAAACAACATGCTGCAGAAGTCTTAAAATTATCAAAAAATCAATATTTATATGCAGCCATTAAAATTACATTAGGAAGCAAAAGGATTTGGTTTTTTATGTAGCATATTTTAAAGATGAAACTATCATTTTCAGGCTGAAATTTAAACTCATTTTATTAGTTCTTACGACAGTGTGGCAGTTTTATTTTTTGTTGCATAATTTCAGGGTTTTATTATTATAATTTCAAAACTAATTGTTTAAAATGAAAAAGAGAATCAATGAAACCGGATAGATTTAAATACAGGACACATAGTTTTATTCACCAATAAGAACACAAAGTTATCTACAAGGACAATGACTCCAGCAGCCTCACAACAGTTAGAGTAATAATGAAAACTGAAAATACAAAGTTACAGTAAACATGCCGTTTGATAAAAATATCTTTACAAAAAAATGTACATTTCTATACAACAGTTGTCACTTACACGTCTCTACAAGTCCCACAATACTGGAGCGAGCCAGTTTTCAACAAACTGTCAGCACAGCGTCACTTTGCTACAAGTCGTCGTCGGCTGAAATAAACATGGAAGGGATTAATTACAGCGAATGTGAACGCGATGAGCCAGAAACGCTCCGAAGTGACCCAGATAAACGATGACAGATGAAAGAAAGGAGTGTTTTCTTTTTTTGAAGTTGTTCTTTTTCTTTGTGAGTGTGATTATTTTTATTTGCAAAAGATGTGATGCATCACCGTACTGCTTAATAAAAAAACAAAATAAAGAAAACATGAACCAGATCTCTCTCAATAAATGTGTCCTGATACAAAAATAGTGCTAAATATTACACTTTATCATTATTAAACAGACACTGAATGAGCTGAAGGCAGTTCATTATTTTTTAAGCAGTTTTTTGGCAGCACTGCGAGGACTGATGGGTTTGTTCATGAAAGTGAGAGAAGTGAGCTTTTCTTTACATTCTGCTTTAAAGTTTCAACATCTGCTTCTCTTAATTTATTTTAAGAAACTAATGGCTACAAAGTGGTAAAAAAAATCTATTTTAATTTCATTTTAAGAAGAGAAATTTGTATTTTACTTAAGAATACAACATAATTTAACCTGTAAATTATGGGAATAAATTTGAGAATAAAGTAAAAAATGAAGTTGAAAAAATGTGACTAAAGTTGTAATGAGAATTAAGTCTCAATAAACTAATAATAAAGTCTTATTATGAAAATAAACTTGCATGACAATAAAGTCATAAAAAATGAAGTCAAAATAATGTGAACTTAAGAGAATAAAGTTTAAATAATATTATGAGGTTAAGATAATAAAATTCTGACAATAAAACTGCAGGAGAATAAAGTCGCAGTTTTGCAAAAATAAAGTTGAAATAATATGTGAATAAAGTTGCAATGAGAATAAAGTTGTAATATTACTATGGTTTTAATCTTGTTTATTTCCATAATATTATGACTTTTATTCATATATTTTTTGATTTTCTTAGTCTGGCCCTTACACATGAAAAAACAAACAAACCCTCGATCATTTTGAAAGCTTCGCTCACTCGCCTGAATGAGATGCTGTGAATCAGTGCAGAATGACGGAGATGAAGCGGGAGAACAGCAGCAGTGCATGTTGGGATGCGCGGGGCCGAGCGGCGCCCTGCTTCCCCATCAGGAGGTCCCTGCCAGGGTTGGCTCGCTCTGCCACAGGAAGCCCTCGCAGCTTCTGAAACTTGGCAGGAGCGGAGAAGCACGGTGGAACAGCCCCACAGGGACGCTTGTGTGATAAATGGATAAAGCTGGATGGCGTTTTGCTCACAGCTATTGGCTTATGCATGAGTCCAAATCCAAAAGCAGACGGCGGCGGTGTCTCATTTATTTTCTGAACACCACGCTACGACCGGAGATTGTCCTTACCTTCATTTATTCATTTGATGTTTGAGAAATAAAAACGCCTAAAGAAAGGAGTAGTAAGATTACAGCGCAAGCACATTTCATAAAAGCATCAACAAATATTTATAAATCTTCCTGTTTCCTTTCGTGCCGCGTGACACAAGCTGCTTTTTGAAGTAAACTCCAGGAGAAAAACGTTAAAACAGGTCTTGGGTAAATTTACTTGAACAGTTTGTGCTGCAAACATGACTTGGCGTCTCCAAAACACAACTTACAGTCCCAGAATCCCCATCTTTCACAAATGCCTTTCATTCTGCCTCTCGAAGGTGGTGATGAAATCTAAAACCTACAACCAGGGAAGCTTGAATCTTTGCCCTGCAGAGGAAAAGAAGAAACGCAGTGACCATTTCTCCTGCAGACCTACATGCTCACTGTTTGTTTACACGCCGTAAATCCGAGGCGGATTAGGCAGAAATGTTAAAGCTTCCCAGTTATAAATAGATTTAAAAATGCAGAAACAGTTTCCCAGGCCTGCAAGTGAAACCATCCATGCATTTTGCCCAAACTCAAGAGGGATTTTTCAGTTTTTAAATACATGTCATGCAAAGAGGCTTTCTGAAGTGAACTCTGACAAAAAAAATTGGAAAGGACATGGAAAGTACAAGCTTTATGTGATTTCTTTAGAGCTGGATGAAAGTGGGTCAAGCAGCTGCCAGAAGGAGCTCTGGGGTGAATACAGAACAAAAAATCCACCTTTTGTTTTAAAACATTTTGCCTTAAATTTAAAGAAAGTTTAAGCATTTAGAAACATAAAAGTTTACATACAGAATGATTGCTGTCTCTTTAAATAACGAGTCCACAAATTTTTATTATAATATCAAGATCTTCAATGTCTTCAAGGGCCAGTTGTGCCAGTATGTACTGATAAAACCCATTGAAAAGTTGTTAAAGTATTAATAACTAGCTTTGATAAATACACTGCAGGATTTTACAATTATTTTTGTGATTTTTACAAAAATCTCAATCACTGATTTTGTGCAGCCACCAGAAATATCTGCGAGAAAGTTTGAAAATTTGTTTCTTACGCAAGACAGTAAATGTGACTTTTTGTTACTCGGCGTATTGAATACAACTTGACATGAAGCAAGACTGAGGATGGTTGTAAAATTAAATAAATAGTGCCGCCTGAAGGTGGGATGAAACCAAATCTTTCACCATTTTTGGGAAAAATTCTGAATAAACTCTCAGTTTCTTATTAGTGTGAAAAATTGAACTAATGCAATTTTTTTGCAGACCTAATTGCACTAAAATTGAATCTGTAAATTTCCACGGTTACAAAATTGTGAAAAACTGGATGAATTGATTGACGTAATTTGGTGTCTTGAGTTCGACACGCATGCTTCAGAAGCAAAACTTTTTCTTTTTTTGGGAGGGATATTCAAAAGTAACTGTTTTCTGTTACAAACAAATATTTTGAGTTTTGTGAATGCTACTTGGAATTAACTGGACCAATGAATATACTGATAGATATGCCAAAAAGTACCTCATTGTCATTGTTATGTATAGTTGAGGATGTGTGATGCTGTGACTGTAAATCACTTCAATAGGAACATTTTCTACCCAACTCTGAGTAGAAAACTAAAAATGGGTCCTCACTGTTTTTTTTTAAATTGAAATACAAATAAATAACACAAAATGATTTACCAGACGTAAAATTAAATATAAAAATGCCGACCAATTGGTAAAAAAGCAAAATTATACCAATTTAATTTAAAGATACTCTCACCGCACTAAAAGATTGACTCATTTTAAGGGTTTTTACACATTTATACATGTGTATGAGGGATCGCTAAACTACTATGCAAACAGTATGACAGTCTTCTGTTTGAAAAGGAGAATTGGAGAAAATAACCAGCCAACGCATGGGGGAAAACTCTCCTGCATTATGCAGGCGAACATGAGAAGAGTGTCTGCCTTTCAACATGACAGCAACCCAAAGCACAGAGCCACGCTGACGGCAGCCCTGGAGAATAAAAGAGGATGAACATCCCCCTGCTTCAGTCCTAAATCCATGTGAGGATGTGAATCAAATGCAAATTGAACCTTTTTTTCCTCATGAGGAGCAAATATTGATGAAGAAACTGAAGGCAGCAATTGAAGTTAATTATTCTTTTATAAACTATTAATAGAAACGGAAAAATTCCTTTTTCTTTAAGGACAATGAAGCTACAATTTGATAAAAAGGTGAAGTTTTTTTCTGTGTATCTTACCAAGTACTTTTGGTCTACTTTAGTGGAAATATCTTAGTATTTGCACTAACTTGCCTGCAATTAGCTCATTAGCAAGAAATAGAGGCTTGTTTTCAATTACTGACTTAAAACAAGCCTCTATATTTTACTAAAAAGTTCCTTTTAAGTTTGTTTGTCTTATTTCAAGTGTAGTAAGATATCTGCACCTGAAACTAGACCCCAAAATTTGTGTTGGTCTGTTGCAGGGTGTCAAACTCATTTTTGTTTTGGGCCAAATCAACATCATGGATGTTTTTAAAGAGCCAGTTGTATCAGAATGTATTGATAAAACCCATTTACCAACTGTTAAAATACCAATAAATTCTTAAAAATAAACAACACTGAAAATTTTTTCAGTCTTTCCGTAATTATATGATTGTTTTGTGACTTCTTGCTATAAATATCAAAGTGTTTGCAGTACTAATTTGGAAATATTTGCATTTATTTATGTTGGTAAATGCAACTTTTTATTAGTCACTGTGCAGATTGGTGGATATAAACTGACATTAATTAATATTGAGGCAGCTGTTTGGTACAAATGGGAAAGTTTTTGACAATTTTTGAGAAAAATCTGCAATAAACTCCCAATTATGCATTAATGTGAAAAAGTGCAGGGATTTCTTGATTTTGTGTGAATTTCCACAATAATTTGCAAGAAACTGGAGGGACTGATTGATATAATTTAGCAACAGATAAAACTCAGTTGATTTGATTGATTAAGTAATATTTAAGCATACTTATTGATCAATCTGAAAAATAATCTCATTCTAGAACGCAGAGGGCCAGATAAAAAGCTGTGACGGGCTGTGTTTGGCCCACAGGCCTCGAGTTTGAAACATGTGGTCTGTTGCATATATAAATTGCATTGAATAAAATCCACTGAAATGTGACAAAATGAAACAGTTTGAGTGTTTCAAAGTAGCAACTTTGAAGCACATCACATCATGGCCGTGATGTCGGTGCTGGTTCATTATCCACACCATGCAGGCCATGAAACTCTTTACTTTAGGCCAACCATTCACACCCCCATACCTCACAATTCAATTATATGAATGTTGTTTATCGGCTGTTCTGCCCCATTGAAATGCCATTAATGCTCCCTCTGCTGAACTCCATATTAACTGCCCTTCAGCAAAGCCAGTTCTTTAAATGTCATGGAGCTTATGACTTCTGAGATGATTAACGAATGTTTAGAAATGCTCCACACAGTTCAGTGGCTATCAGGTCTGGATGCGAGTCTTTTTAACGAGGAGTTTTGCTGAACAACCGGTCATAGCGCAGACTTTTAAGTCCAGAGCTCTTACCTTATCTCAGTTGTCGATGTCCGACACGTGGTTCTCTATCTGAAAGGCAGAAGATGCAGAGAAAGGGACTGAGCTCACTCGTCGTACTTTCAGTTTTTCTAAAGGTCACGGCTGATACGAGCTCAACTGGAGCAGGCGCTTACAGAGCCGTATTTGTGATACATTATCATAAATTGTAATCAAGAAACCTTCAGGGAGCAAAACTGCTTTCATATGTTGCTGAAAAATCTCAAACAGGAAGGTAGGGCAAGCTTTCATGAAGAAATGCACAGTTTTGTTTACTGGTTTATACTCAGTAAATGTAAAATAATAATAATAAAAAAATAATCAATTTTAGTACTCTGATTACACAGATATAAACTGAAGATTTACCTTCGAACAGCAAAAAAATAAAATAGAAACATGGCAGAGAAAAACGCTAAAGCTACGTTCACACAGCAGATGCTAACACTCAAATTTTATTATTTTTTGCAGAAAAGCCTGCATTAGAAGAGACGTAATAATGGATCAATTTTAAACTTAGAGCCAACAGTATGGCCACAGAATCATAGCAAGATGAAAGAAGCGCAACTCATAGAAACAAATTTTTAGGGAAATGTGATGCGTTTTATGATAAGTTCATAATCAGAATTTTAATTTATTTAAATCCAGATGAATGCGTCTGGATTCTTTTGGTACCGAAATGACACATCAGTGACATAAACGAAAGATAACTTGGTCCAGTAACCGGATGTTCAAGATTGTACTGTAGGTGGGATTATGTGACTTTGTGGATGGATTTATGGAAGATTTTAAAAAACTTTGAGAAACCTCAATTGTTCAGAATGAGAATATATGGGGATTTGATGTGCTGTTCTCCTTTCTGCAGCAAACATTTGGGCTCAGGACACAGAACTGTCTTTGTTAAAAGGTTTTTCCATTTCAGCAATACAAGAAAAAGCCACAAGTAGGCAAAGAACCACCGTAAATCATTTACAGGAATAATGTTAAACACTAAAGGCTTTTAAAAAGCTCTGGCTTCAGAGCTTTCTTAATAATTTCAAAAACATAATTTCAAGCCACAAGGGCATCAATTTGTGCAAAGCATATTAAAAAAATACCAGAATTAAATTTTGCTTTTAAAGCAACAGTGACCTCCATCTTTTTAAATCTGCAGAAAACATGTAATACATAAAAAAAAGAAGAAAATACAAACCAATCTAGTGAACCTGCAGGTTTATCTTTGGTTAGAAAAACCACATGCAGATAAAAAAATGGCTTCTTGTTGCAGTTTGCCTTTGGAATCAATGTTGTGACAAATGAGCGTTGGGAGCGCGAGCTCACTGGGATCAAATGGTTCAGTGAATTCAATCGATACAAGCTTTGAGAGAACAATCACATTAGATGGAAGACTGATGAGACCCGCTTCTTCACTGGAGTCATCGATTGATTTAATTTTCTGTTTTCTACAATGTGGGATTCAAACCGTTTTTCTTTATTTGTAATGGAAAGCAGTAAAATACAATGTAGTAACACCAACCTGGTCAAGAATTTAGAGTTTTTTGGCACAAATTCATCATGACATTCTGTTTAATTGTTACTGACTTAAAGTTGTAGTATGTAACTTTGTTTTTTACATATTTGTTAAAACTGTAACCGTGACAAAATAGTTTGTTATGAGACAGATAATCTGTGAGAAGCTAAATCTCCTCCCTGAGATACTATTGCCATCTGAAGAAATGCATGAAAACGACCAATCAGAGCCAGGAGGCAGGTCTTAATGCTGCCAATCAGCCGCATGTACTTACTGCCCAGGGAAAACATTTATCTGTCATCATTGGTGGCTATGCTAACTAGCCTAGCATTCAGAAAAAGGATCTGAAAACTGTAGGCAGAGATACGGAAAGAGATTGTGATTGGCAGCACTAAGACCCGCCTCCAGGTTGTGATTGGTTGTTTTTAGACAGCACTGGAGGATACAGAGGAACTCAATCTTTTTTTTTTCACAGATTATCTGTCTTATACCATATTGTCACTACCTGGTGATAGTTTTGAGAAATATGCAAAAGTACTTTTTATTTTTTTTAAAGTTACATAGAATCTAATCTATTCAAATCTGAACAGAACTTTCTTTCTGGTTTTCCTTCAGTGACCTTGTTGGAGAAAGAAGATTCTGCTGTTCTACATCCAGCACTTCACTGTAAATGTAGGCAATGTATTTGTAGAGGCTCCTGCTCTTACTGCGTCGTATGAGTGTGCAGTGCGGGGCTCTGAAGAGCCTTTCTTCCCTGGTTTCAGCCAGGGCAGACTGGAATAGAGTGTCATTTGCTCATGCGAAGCCCTGATCTGTCAGAAATGTGCTCATGAATAATTCTGGAAGATTAGCTTTCAGTCGGTGAGGGCTGCGCCAAGTTGAGATCTCCCAAAGTGCGTCAGCCCTGTCAACCTTTTTCCACTTACCAGATGGTGGCTGCCCTCCTCGTCGTAGTCGTCCTCCCCTCCATCGGTCATCTCGCCCGCCTCCACTTCCAGCGCGCCCTCGCCTGCCTCCTCCCCAGAGTTTTCTGCTGTCTCTGACACAGACTCCTCATGCAGGGAGTCGCAGTTGTCTTCGTATTTTCTTTGAACCTCTGAAACGGAGCAGGGCATGGAAAATGAGAACAGACTGCACCTTTCTTTCATTCAGAAGGCAGCAAGCACTTAAACAGGTAACCGGGTTAAATGTGAACTCATAAGTCACTTCAAATAGTGTTTATAAACCGTTCATATTACTAAAAAGTTGAATTAGTTCAGAGCACTGTTGATGAGATCTCCAAATTATTGTGAAAGGTTTAGGGAAAAAAATGGCATAAGATTTAACAACAAGCAAAAAGCTTTCAGAAATTTTGCATTGCACTCTTAGGGTGTTTTCACCCACGATAGTGCAGTGGACTCGCTTTGATTAGAGACCAAAACATGCACCATTTGTTCCATTTTCACGCCGCACTGCGTCGAACGAACCAAAACCTTTGAAAAACCTGTTCCCCTCTTCGCCTGTGGGGGTCGCTGCACCAAGAACCACCAGAGGAAATTACATAAAAATCTCAGAAGACATTGAACTCAACATCCTTCTACACAAAATATAAACAAAAATATCACTATCACAATTTTACTGCTGTTAGGATCCGAAACTAGATTAAAGCAATTTTAATTTGAAAAACGTTTATTAGTCACAGGTCTGGAATAATTAAAACCTGCAATATGTGTCTTGTAGGAACCCAACCACAGCCAATGCATAATCAACACTCTGAGGGAAGTTGTTATTGCTTTAATCTGTATCTCGAGTCATAAGCAGGCGTAAAATGTATTTACATTACCGGCTAAAAACTTTAAAGAAAGCATTAACTATAGAAATATTTTCTCTGTATTTGTGGAGACATTGGGAGGCGACATCTGTGCTTTCCACTAAGTTCAGGGGATTTTAGCAACACAATTTAATGCAAATTACTAGTGTGTAAATGATGTTCTTACAACAAAAACACCGAACTTTGGCTCTGTAATTTAAAGTTAATTGAAAGCATAAATTGCAGAGTATAACCTGGGAGATGAATGAAATAAAAAACATTAATTTGTTGCCAGAAAATGGCTGGACTGTTTTTAGAAGCAGTAGAGACACAAATGGAAGCACAAAAATGTGCAGGAAATTAATTTTGGATAAGAAGCTATATATTTTTATCATTTACACTTTGACTTTCTTTTTTTTGCCAATACCTTTAGAAAATATAAAAGTAACTGACTTTTGTCAAACTGTAGCTAAGTACAATAAGAATTACTTGACATGCTAATGGCTGCTCATTACAAACCAGCCAATCCAGGAGTGCCCTTTATTTTCATTCCTGCTGATTGGCAACTGAGTAATCTGGAATTAAACATTTACTGTTTCTCAAAGTCTAAATGAATCTGTGTTTGCTTCAGCTCATTTATAAAGACCCACGGTCGGTTTTATCTACCTGCTCAGTATTTGTGTGTCTGTGTAGTCGTGTCTCGCTCCTTGTTAGTCTTTTTGTTGACCCGTGTTCGACCAACCCAACAAATCAATGTGGCTGCTCCTCTTTCCCCTGAGCCAATGCGCCTCGACTCCTGCAATCACATGGACTGGAAGTGTTTGAGGTCCTCGCAAATTGTTTTCTCGTCGGCGTTTCCAAATCCTGCATATGGATCCTCCATCTACTTCACCAAGCAGCTTAATTGTCTTTTTTCCTGTGACATATTCACAACAGCGTGAAGTGAAAACTGGATAAAATAGGAAATGTCACACCACCACTTGGTGCCATTTCAAATATTTAAAACAAAAAAACTAATCAATAGTCATTAATATTGACTGATATAAAATTTAATGCTTATATTTTATGTTTTTCAGCCATTTTGTCTGAGTATGGCAACACTAAACTCAAGCTGCAGATTTATCGATTACTAAATGAGTTGGTGAAATCTGAAGCTCTATGACAATATGTGAGGAATTAACATGAAATGAGCAATACTCTTGGTGGAAAATCACGTGACATGGCCTTTTCATTGCCTTTCCTGAATAACCTTCACAGTGATCTGCTGTGAGGTTGTCCCACAGAGTAGGACATCTATAAAGACCTCATTTAAACAGAGTCAGCGTGGGGCTGACATCTGTCTGCTGATATGACAGAGAGCTCTGCTGCTCTTATCTCCCAACATGTCAAAAAGACTTATGGCCGACGTGAGCGTTTTAATTTCCGTTTCCGTAACCGCTCGCCGTGCTTCGGTCTCCTCCCTCCCTTCGCCCCGTGTCTGCCGCTCACCGGATTCTGTCCTCTGCTGCTTCTCAATCTTCTCCAGGCGTCCCAGTAAAGAGTCGATCTTCATTTTGATCTGGGTGAGCTCTCGTTTAATGGTCTGGAGCTGGTCCGTCTTCACTGTAAGCACAAGAAGGAACACAAAGGATTACCTCAGGTAGCCCTAACTGGCTGGTTCTGGTTCTGCAGTGATTTAATTTTACTGTTTGATGTTTCTCATTAATCCCCTCATCACACCGAGTCAAATCTTCCACGGGGAAAGAGCGTCTCAATCAGAACTTTACTGACAGGTTATCCAGCTAAGACTGAAGACGTGCTGTTTTTCAATTTAAAGATTAGTGCACAGCTTACAGCCACCATGCCGTGCAGCAGCACGTTTCCCACAAGCAGTGCCAGCATCTGACAAAAAAAAACAAACCAAAAAATGTTTTACAGCATGACATTGCAGACCCTAAAGCATGCATAATGATGTAAAAGGTGGATTTTTGACTTCTCAGTCTTAGAAGCAAGTACCTACAGACTATGCAATTTTAGCAAGAAATAGGAGCTTGTTTTAAGTAAGAAATTCCTTAATATTGACAGAATAGTACTTGTTCCATTGGCAGATTATTTCACTTATAACAAAACATTTAATAAGTGAAATAATCTGCCAGTGAAACAAATACTTTTTTATAAATTTTAAGGAATTATTTACTTAAAACAAGCTCCTATATCTTGCTGAAAGTTGCTTGTAAGTTATTTTGTCTTATGTCAAATGTACTAAGATATTTGCACTAGAAATTAGACTAAAAATAGTTGGTAAGATTTTGTATTTTTGCAGGGCATACCTTGGCTTATTACTTTTAGAAATTTTGGAGTACTAATTACTTCAGACCAAAATAAAAAAAAATTAAGACCACCTTAAAAATCTAAACTATCCTTCTTTATGTTCATTATTATTGGATTATGTCCATTAATCCAAATTTGACAACAGTAAAATCAAAATTAGGTGATTACAATTTAGGGAAGAAATCATTTTATTAGTCAAAATGCCTTTAAATACATAACATCCCTATATATTGAGATATGAATCTTTATATTTTAACATAAGTCAGTGTTGAAAGCTGCAGGATAATTTTACCCCCCGCTCCCGCCCCCTGCAGTGTCTGTTTACAGACTTTTAAGTAATTTGTGCTTTAGGTCTCAAGCTGTTTCTCAACAACGCACCGAGGGTTTAGGTTGAGGGGCTGAAGCAGAACTGGATTATGTCAAAGTTTGAGACTTAACCTTGATATGTCATAAGGAAATAGGAAATAGCAGCTGAAAATAAAAGCACTTATCAGAGGAGCTGCCGCAATAAATTCAGACAGCTGAAACGAGGACGTGCTCAAGCTGAGCAGATTAAGGAACTCAGACCATGAGGTAATAACATAATCTTATTTCTCAACCCTCGGTGGATGAAGTGTGTCATATCTGAAGAGGCGGGCGGAAATACAGATGCTAAAAGTTGAGAAGAAAACAGAAAATTCGGCTTGACACCTATCAGATTCAATCTATAAACAAGCCCACAAGTTCCTGCAAAGCGTGAGCTGGAAACCAGAGGAAGGAAACGCGGAGGAAATAAAACAAAAACACACTAGTTTGCTATCAAGAAAGCATGATTCTGTGATGTATGTGCATATGTACACCCACTCATCACAACACAGATCGCAGCCAAAGTCTGTGAACAAAAACAAAAAATCATGAATGAAACATAACCGTCTGAAAAAACCCAAAACAAAAAAAACAAAAAACAAAATACGAATTCCCTCAGAGTGAAGCACATTTTAATCTTTCACCAGTTTTCATAATGATCCAGTTTCCTCTGCTACATATCCGTCAATGCACAATGTTTTTTAGATGAAGCTGGAAGATTAATATGTCCATGTAATAAAGAAAGAAAGCCCAAAAAATATAGCTGCAGTGATTAGAATCTAAAGGTAATTTGTTATAGTAAACCGCAGGAGCTGTTCTCATATTGTTTTCTAAAGCTGCTACTTATTGTTGATAAAATAAAAAAGGGCGAAGACACCAGACATATAATCACATCTATATGGGGGAAGTCCAGGGGAAGAGTAAAGTGTTTCTATCTCCTGCATCACCTACAAAACGGTATCTGTAAATACACTCTCTTTCTAAGTCCAGTGATATTCCAGCAACATTTCCGCCGGCTCTGGGAAGCTCACTGGGAGTCCTTTGATGATAAAACAGAGTGGAACAGTTTTTAATTTATCTGGACCTCCAGGCCTCTTTCCTTTTGTGTTATCAACTACTAAGCTGCTGAGAGGAAACGTATGCACTCGTATCTAGCAGATGATTCATCAACTGCATCTTAGATAGCTGCGCTTTCAGTGGAAAGATACGGAAAAATCTGTTGTTATTTAGGAAGCTTCAGCGAAGCTCTAGGGGATGAGCAATTGGTCTAATTTTAGGCATTTTATGACCTCATTGTGACAAACAAATATTCTGTTTGAGGAATATTGAGTAAATCCTGCAAAACCGCACAAGAATCAAATACTGAGGGACTTTTAAAACTACAAAATGGTAATCAGAGTTACACAAATTAATTGCACATTAGTAAAATTTGACCACACGATTGTAAATCCAATCTAACAAGAACTTCAGCACCAAATTATTCATGTCAGCTTTCCAGCAAAAATCCTGACTTGACTTTTTCATTATTTCAAATCCTCCAGACTTTGTTCTAAAATCTCCATTATTGCTTCACTTCCTGACAACAAAACTACCAGGACACAGAGCCTGAAAAGCCGAGAATGCTCTGCTTTGATTGAGAAGATCAAGAAAACAGACCTGAATATCACTTTTTGCAGTGAAAACCAAGAACGATTGGTGATAAAATGACTCGTTATCGAAATAAACCACATGAGGCGAGCAAGGTCAAACACAGGCAGACTTGTGTTACAGAACAGGATGCGTCATAATGCAGATAAAATCCTGGTCTTTTATCTTACTCAAGTGCATGAGTGCTCTTGCTTTCTTCAAGTCCAAAAATATGCATTTATCTTTAAAATAGAAGTGAGTGTGTGGGTGTGTGTGTGTGTGTGTGTGGGTGTGTGTGTATGCATGGTGGTCTTGTCACGGACCAGCAACCAGTGAGTAGGAGAACAGGCACAATGGGAGGGCCGTGCGTAGATACATTCATCACTAGGCACAATTTACGAAGACAAATTAACCTAATAAATTTGATGTTCGCTAGAAAGACATAAAATTAGTTGCTCAAGAGCAGCCTAAAAAAGTAATCAATACTTCTCATTGTTGTTTTTAGTCACAATTGTACTACAAAATATTGTGACAAACTTTTACTTCAGAGTGGTTAATAGATTATTCCTTTATTTGTGAGATTTGAGCCAACTTCCTGCAGTGGAAATGCACCTAAATCACAAATCTCATTAAACAGATATTATTTTGATTAGTTTTTTGCTTTGTTTTCCTAAAGTGAATAATTAATTGTGCATCTATTTCAGGTTAACCTGGCAGCAGACGGATTAGATATTCTAAATGTATTCTATTTGAGTCAAAGTCAATACAAACCCGGACTTTTCATTGTCTTGGCAAGGGAAAATTAGTCTCCCCAAAGTACAGAAGTTCAGCTTAGACACAGCAGAGAATTTATTGACTTTTTCCCCCAAAAAAGAGGACAGGAGATTGTCTTTTTTTCCCCCCTTTCGTGGCTGTAATAGTATGTAGGCTCTGCAGCAGAGTCCTCCTGACAGAACTCACCAAGCTGCTAACGCTGATAACACCGGCCCAGACTGCCAACTGTGAAACAAACAATTACACTAGATAGATGGAGACTAATGTTTGGGAAAGCACAGCTGACCCACAGAGATGTTCTCAATCTCGCTTTAATTACACCTAGCATGTTTTAATGCCTATCGAGTTAATTAGGGAAGCAAATTAGATCCAGATGTGTGCAGTCTGGCTGGAAAGACGACGTGAGCCGGCTCTGCGATTTGGTTCAGCTTGTCCTGAACTGCAGGAGCACAGCTTGCAAAAATCGTACATGTAATTGGTGCAAAAAACGGAGTAGAAAAGTCTTGTTGTACGTACATTTGACACCTGAGGAGGAGGATGATGATGTTGGAGGTCTGGAGGATGAAGAGGAAGAAGAGGAGGATGTTTTGACAGGGAAGGAAGTCTTCCCACGGCGAGAGGAAGGAGCGAGGACCCTGGAGCGTTTCAGGGGGATCACAGCTCTGGGTGGGGGGGCGACTCTGCCATGGTAGTCGAAAAGCCTTGAGAGAAAGAAAAACCTCTATTATTACACTTACACTTTTTCTGTAAATCACAAGAGGCTCTATCACGCTGAGAGTTTGCCCATTTATTAGAGCTAAAAAGAGTTTCTATCTCACATCAGCTCTTTTTAAAGTCGACTCTCTTTTTCCCCGAATTGTATTTCAAGATAGATTTACTCTCTGTTCTGTTTTTCAGACGGCAAAGAGAAACAAAGGGCAGAAATTACCGATTAAATCTACCAATATCTTCCGTTTTTTTTCGCCGTCGAGTTTCCCACTCCACACATCCTCTGGATGTGACGAGGATGAAAAGAAGAGGCTGCTAAATGAGAAACGAGGGCGTCATCTTTGATTGTTCTCAGTTACAAATGGTGTCGCAGCTCAACCTCAACACGGCTGACATTTAGAAAATGGAAAGTGCCTCCATAGATAAGTGCTCTGATTACTGCCGCTGCATAAATGAGTGAAAACAAAACATTCCTTCATCAACGTGTTTAAGTCAGGCGCTCACATGTCCAACCGTTTTGAGAAGTTGACAGTTTCTGTTTTCAAATGACTGTGTTTAACAAAACAGAGAATTTTAATCAGCCGGCTGCAAAAAAGATGATTTTCCATTTGCTGGTCCCCACTCAAAACAAAAAGGGTTCAGTGAAGGCCTCAAAGATTTGCCAAAATTACAACATTTGTTACATTTGGTTCGCTTTCATGATATCCATTTCTCCTCCTTGTCTATGGGGGTGCTGCATCAAAAACCACTGAGGGAAATGACATAAAAACCACAGAAGAAGACATGGAGGGCAGTGTCCTTCTTCATGAAATGTAAATAAAAATGGAGTAGCTCCAAATGTAATTATTGGATTTCTCTTCTGTCTTTGGCAAAAGTCTCTGCGCATTAGACTCACACGTTTGTTTTGGTTGTATTTACCCAGAATGCCCTGCGCTATAGTTCGCAGTCTCCCTGGCATTCAAACCGTACCAGAGTTCAGTTCCAACAAACAGAGAACTCCGATTTTAGGTGGACTGAAAGCTAATCAGAGTTCAATTCAAACAAACTGGAGTTTGATTAAACTGGGCAGAAACTGCACACAGACAAACACGCACATTTTCATGACATCATGCTGTGGAAATGCTAGCCTTTAAGACGAAACCTGAGGCAATGGGAAAATAGATTAAGCTAAATACATGGGAATTGTCCTGTCAAAGTTCAGATCGACCTGGAAATATGTGGACTTGACTTGAAAACTGATACTCTGAGATGCTCCTTCCGGCCTGACTAAGCTCAAGCTATTTCACATGAGAAAATAAAACCAGTCAGCCACTGGATGTACGAAGCTGGTAGAGATTTATACCATAAGACTTAGATGTAGGCGCAGTAAAAACTCCCTGCACTTGTAAGATTTGACAACTTGTCTTGGTCCATCACATAAAATCTCAATAAAACACACCAAAGTTTGTGTTTGTAATGCAATAAAATATGACAAATGTTAAGGATTATAAACACTTCCTTTCACTGTATTTCAGTTTTACCTTCCTGCAACATTAACTGAGACGGGACTGGCTTGGGCAACAGGTAACAACAATCTTAAGATATAAAAATGGATGATGCATACCTGCTGTAGAAATCATCCCTGTAGTATTCGTAATCAAACTCGTAACCGCTACAAGAGAAACAGAAGAGACAAAGAGAAAAACTCCCTTACTCTCTGCGAGGTCAGCTGCTCTGTTTTCATTTGCTGTGAGCCATAATTATCGCACTGAGAGAAAAAAACACATTCTCTCCTATAAAAATGCATCTTCACACCCTTAAATATTCAGCTGTGCACTGAGAAATGTTCACATATCAAGGTGATTTCCATCACAGGTAAAAAAAAAAAAAAACCTTCATGGTTTCCTTGTTGCTTATGGGAGATGAAAGCTAGCTTCAGGCCATGCACTTAATGAGACTTTTATAAAGAATGTCTTTTGCATATTTGTTAAAATTGTCACTACATCCTGACAGTAGAATATGAGACAGATGATTGGTTTAAATAAAAATAATATAACTTCTCCGCCTTCTCCCAAGTGTTATGTAGAGAAATACACAGCTCAGTCAGAAAGAACCAATCAGAGCCAAGACAAGGGTCTTAGCGCTGTCAATCATTCCTGTGTACATGCTGCTCAAGACCTTCCACTTACTGTGTGCTATACTACGGCTGATTCTCCACACTGCAGCCTGCTGTGGATGCTCAGGGTAGTTAGCATTTTCACCGATGATGGCGGATAAACTAGCACATTGACCAGCACATACAGGACACATGCATGATTGACAGCGCTAAGACCTTCCTCCTGGTTCTGTAGATGACAAAAGGAGCACAGGGAGGAGGTGGTAAGTTTGATTTCCTTCCTTTCTTTCCTTCCTTTGGCAAAAGACTTTAGCATTAGACTCACATGTTTGCTTTCTTCCTTCCTCCCTATTTTTTTATTTTATTTTATTATTTTTTACAGATTATCTGTTTCTTAACATGGTGACAATTTATATGTGAAAAATAAATTGTTTATAAAAGTTACAAACTGCAGCTCTAACATCAACATGAAGTAGGTTTAGTGAAGGTATTCTGACCCTGATCTTCTTTGAATAGCCGCATCTCGGCATGCGCGCTTTTATTTTCCATACAATGGAATGGATATGTTTATATTTTCTGGGGAAATCTTTCAAACCTTTACCCTCAGTCAGCTCTTCTTATGTCAGAAGGAAACCAAAGTACATGAAAAATGATGTTTGACACATTCATCTGAGTAATTGTTGTCAATTACTCCAGAAATTGCTTTTTTTTAAATTAAATTTTAGTCAAAGTTTTAATCAATTTCTTTGTTTGTTTTTGCTGTTTGTGTATTTTCTGTCATTTCAAAAAGATCAGAAAAACATTTTGACAATTGGTTTTTTCCTCTTTTTAGATTGAAATACTGAACTAGAACATTTTTTATGTCATTTTGTTTTATTATACCTGTTGTACCATGGAAAATTTTTTTTCTTTTAAAAAACTCCAGAAAGCGAGAAAATAAATGACTTTAGGACTTAAAAATGTGGACGATGCCTGAAATGAAAAAAGAATTAAAATAAAACAGTCCAGTTTGTCCTGCGGGAATTTAACTTAAAATTTATGATGTTTCATTTAGGAGAAATCTCTCTCACTTGTGGGCTATAATTACCATTTCACATCCTTCTCGCAGCAACAAAATGCAAATGAGGATGCATGGTAACACTACACAAGCTGATAAATTACTTAAACCAGACATGTAATGAAAAACTAACAACAAAAGGCAGAGTTAATTTGTTGGATTGTTAACTTTAGGAAAAGTATCAGAAAACATGAGCGTTCCTTTGAATACGAAACAAATCTGGACCTTTGTCACGTCAGACTCCAGTAAACATGCTGTCAGGGTTCTTTGCACGAAATGAAATGCGCACTGGGCAGAAAATCGGGGTCATGTTTAATGAAGCTCACACAACATTAATTCCTCTGAGCTTTCACTGCTTCTGCTGTATAAACTGAAGTCAGGCCTCAGAAATGCAAAAATCATGCCGTTAATTGGAAATGCAAGGTTCAAACGAGGGGAAGGAGGGAAGCATAATAAGGAATCCTCATATTTTAAAGATTACAGCAGATTTACATCAGCAGCAGCTGGATGCAAAAGCAGGTTAATATTCATGACGGTGGTGAATGAACTCGCTGAATGTTCAAAGGAGGACGAGTCGTACCTGTAAACAGCTGAGAGCGGCCGCTTGGAGCCGCCTTTGGGCCTGTAAGGCTTGGGCTCGCCCGCCATGTTTATGTCTGTAAAAACAAAAAGAGAAAAAACTCGTCAGTCAAGGTACATCCAAGGAAAATTCACAGATAACACTCCACACAGCAAAAATAAGATGTTACCCTTCAATCTGGGTTGTCTAATTATCTGCAAAATGTCTGCGCAATGTGGAAGGGTCTAAAATTTTCCCACATTTCTGCAAAATCTGCTTCCAGAAACAGTATTTTTATCCGGCAACTCTGTTAATTTTCTAATAAATACTTTCTGATTGTAAGGCCACTTATTTCTAACATGAATCTGAATCATCCCAGCTTCAAAATCCACCTGATTCAGTTTATTGACCTCACATTTCTAAGAAAAAAAAAAGAGAAATAGTGAAAAGTCCTTGGTGGCGTCACCCTGAGCTTTGGACCATTTGAAGCATGTCTTATCCTTCTTTCTCCAACCTATTTTCTGACAATTTACTGTTCAAAATGCAATAAAATCTAAAAGAAAAAAAAGGTACCAGAATCAGTATCAAGTCTCAAAATATCAGTTTAACAAAAAGAAACATTATTTTTGCAATTTTCAAGCAAATTTTTCTTAAAAAAATTAGCTAAATATCTTAAAATATTAGAAAAGAGGCTAAATATTCTTTTCAATGTACTTGTGATTCATTGTTGTGATTATTAAGTGGTTAACTAACAATAAAGTATTCACTTTAAAAATGTATCTCTCAGACAAATGGTTTAGGATTATGATGAACAAACCTTAAAATAATCAGAAAGAAGTTAAACTGTGCGCCGTCTGTACTGTAAGGGAACAACTGCAGTCATACAGAGCAGAACAGATACTGTAAAACGAGAAATTTGTTTTTAAACATGAGTCAATAATGGACAATGATCTCGCTCCAATATTATTTAGATTTACTTTGCTTATTTTGGATGCCAAATTTAATTTTCATACAGCCAATAATATCTGGAGCAATTATTTACGCGCCTTTTAGATAAGCAGCAACAAAAATTATGAGCATATGATAAAGATGATAAAGGATTAAAATGAGAGGAGATAAAAGGAACAAAAAAAAAGCGATAATGTCAGAGTTTAATTCCTTTTTAATAAAATTGTATTTTATTAGGATTTAGTTTAAAAAAGTGATTGAAAATACATGATTCTGTTTTCTCTTTCTCGATGTATAAAAGAAAAAATATTTCAGATGAAATACATAAATATTGGCTTTATTTTAAGTCAACCTCATAGCAACACATGCAGTCTTAGCATCGGTATTTAAAGTTGCATTAAGTGAGCGAAAGTTTTATGCACAGGATGTAATATAGGCAGTGCAAATATTCTCTTTTAAATGTTAAAATGACGCAATAAAAGCTGTGAAAAATGAAAGACTTGAAGCAAAAAGTGGGAAAACTCTTTCCTTGTAAATTGACTAAAGGCAGTGCAAGAATCCCATCATGTACTTCTTTTTATGTTGTCCCTGGGATCACGCTTACAGAAGCACTCGAGAAGAAGCACTCTGCTTCATAACTGATTTAAGGTAATGACTTAACAGAAATATTGTCATGAACATTGCAAAGAAACTTAAACCTTGTAAAGTTATTTTAAATAAGAGCTCAGAATTAATCCCTTATAGACCTTCAAGACGGTCTGTGACACTTTTACCCTTCCAGCTGTACATATTTTCCTAAATATTTCACGCGTCTGCTTTTCCGATGCCAAATAAAAGGAGGCGCCCAAATCCCTCAGAGTGGGATGGCACTGGTGTAGAAATAAGCTGCTGGCGAACTCCTTCTACCAGAAGAAAGAAGATTAAATCCGTGTGTTTATGTACGCTCACCTCTTAAGAGTGGAACGACCAGATGAGCGTGTTTTTGTGTCAGCATGCTTGATAGAGTTTGACCTCAGTGCCGACTTACAAGATAATTACAGTTTTGCTCATTAACCTGGAGGTTTACCAACATCGGAGGCAAACCTTCAATTAGCGCCAGGCAGCCAGCATGGCAATTATATCATCCGAACCCCAAAAGCAATTAAAAACAATCCCAGACACAACAAGTTTGATGTAAACAACATGTGGCCCATATCCCTCCTGTTCTATGTTGGGATTTTGGGTGATACGGCTTCAACATTTGCTGAGTGAAGCTGTCAGGAAAAGTGAGGCGCAAACATTGAATTCAGAGCAGAAAGGCAAAGATTTTCTGGACCATCTAGTTTCTAACGCTCAAATATAGAAACCCCTTCAAAAGTAGGAAGTGGACTGTAATGCAGAGCATGCTGGGTAAATACAACCAAAACTAATGGTTGTCTTTAACTCGATAGTCTTTTTACCAAAGACAAAAGAGAAATCCTGCACCACTCTATTTTTGTTTACATTTCATGAAGAAAAGAAAGTTGCACTTGGTGATTTCTTCAGAGGTTTTGGTGCAGCGCCCCCACAGGTGAGGGGGTAGAACAAGTTTTTCAAAGGGTTTGGATCGTTTGACACAGTGGAAAGTGAACTTTGGTCTCCAATCGATTAGGTGTGAAAACAGAAGAAGTTGAAGCCATTTATGCATCGACTCAGGATTCCTTTCTGCAGTGACTGACCAAATAGTACAAGAACCTATTGCTTCTTTTTCAGAACCATCTCAAGGTCCATCAAGACCAAGGCAGAACAGACACTGATTTGATGTATTAATGAATTGATGGATCAAAAAGACGAGACGAATTGATAGATGGGATTATTAAAAGATTGGAAGCCGGGTCAATGAATTGATGAGCTAAAGAACAGATGGATTGGACGTGTTGTGAAGAGCAATAGCAGTTTATTCTGTTGAGGTCTTTCTCAGTTTATTCTCTCTGAACACGTTGCTCCCCTGCAGCCACAAACTCTCCTCCGTGTATGTATGAGCAGTTCCCTGGGTAAGTGACCACACTGGTTGTTTTTTCCTTTACTTAGTTTCCTCCCTTTGTTCTGTTGTTCTGACTTGTTTGGCAGCTCGATGTGCAGCTGGGGGAGCCAGAGAAGGAGATGGAGCTGTCTGTGGTGCTGCATAAGTTAAAGAGGCTTCTGAAGGTTTCTGTCTGTGGTCTAAAAACAAAAAGACAGCTCCAGCTCGCAGCTATGTAAATGTGCACATGATGCAACGTGAATTTTGATGCCCCAACAACTTGCTTAGGCAGGTTTGAGCTTGATTCTCCTTTACTGTTATTCTCAGAAGGAAGGTCCCTGTCCGTCAGCAGAGACTGCGATGAGCAGAGCTTTGTTTCAATGAGTGAGCATTGTTATGGGTAAAAAAAAAAAAAAAAAGAAGAGTAAAACTGCAGCGGAAAGATTGAGCCACAGAGTGCAAGTAATCACCCAGACAGGCTTGTGTTCTTCTGTCAGGAAAACAAGGATCCGTGACTCCCCGGAGGAAGCTGCCCCTGTGTTTTATTGGTCTCATTTGTTGCCTTACATCTCCGTCTCCCTCACCCTCCTCTTCCTTGTGCATCCTTCTGTAACCTGAGCATCATCCAATCCTTCAACGTCTCCTCCTTCTCCTTCACACTCACAAAAGACAGTATCTAGCCCCGATCACCCTCCGTCGCCTGATCAGACGCTGCGTTTCTTCTCTCCGTCTCTTCACACTGAGGCGGCTCATTATGAGACGTTTCAGAGCTGCGGGGTCTTTTCTGCGTGACACCTGCACAGCTGAAGAAAGCTCCTACTTCCCATCTTCTTTCATTAACAAGGGTGGAAAAACAGCAGCACAATAAAAACAATGCGTTTCCCAATAAATCGAGGCCATAAGCCGAGATGTAAGACAATTTACTGGAAACGAAAACAGAAAAGTGAACGGAGGGAATGCAAATCTCATTCCTGGAGGGAGTGTGAGCTGTCGGACCAGAAGAAGCCACAACAAATCCCACTCTGTCTCTGCAGCTTTATCTTCCTCTCTGAAAATCTCTCTCCCTCCTTCAGACGGAACAAGGGGAACACCAGCTAATAGCCCGAGGCTCAGAGAGGAGCTAACAGGCGATGGCTAGCAGGAGTCAACAGAAGGTCAGAAGAGATGGGTGGAGGTTCAGCAACAAAACTGACACTTTTTGTTGTTTAAGATGTTTTCTGAAAGATTTAAAAACTCCTGAGGCTCATTTTGCAAATCCAGAAATGACAGTTTATTTGTGATTCAGTTAAATTTATAATTATTTTAGTGACTGTTTTTTCTGCAGACGATTCTTACAACAAAGCGGATGAAGAAATCGGCACATTTAACCAAGTTAAATGTGCCGGCTATTTTTGTCATTTCTACACAAAAATAGCCAAAAAATTAAAAAGTAATTCCTTTTTTAATTGCTTAAAATCCAAAAACAGAACTCTTTTATCAGAGAAACTAATAATTTTAAGTGGTGTCTCAATTGTTTCATAGCTGTAAATATTTTTTATTTAGTTTTGGCCAAATTTCTGCTCTAACTCTGTTCTTTCAGAAAATAACCTTTTCTGAGTTTCCATTCTCAAGTTAACAATTAATCGATCATGAAAAAAAAAAAATCAATAGTTGTAAATAGTTAAATGTGTGATTTTGATTTAGATACAAAGCACAGATGTTTCATCTTTGCCTCATAAACATTCACCTCCCAGTGAATTGTGTTAGTGATTTTAGCTCCAGGTTTCCGTCCCTAGTAACTGAATATTAAAAAAATTCAGGCCTGTAGCAACATTCAACATCTGAAACAGAAATTATTTGCAGCTCCAAGTAACCAACACAATTCTAATGAATGATTTCTCTGCTCTAAATATATTCTTTTTGGCTTTTGTTTCCATTAAGAAAAGGATTAGAATCGAAATGAAAAGCTGTATTACATAATGATTAAGCAAAAAAGAGAAAGCGAATCACCTTGTTAGGAATTACACCCACTGTAAGCCAGAAAGAGGTAATTTTTCTGTCAAGCTCCAGCATATTTCTATAAGAAAAATAAAAGAAATATCCAGCCTACTAAAAAACACCTTGGCAACTGACTTTGTTGGTTTCCGTTGCTGCAAATGACCTGTTTGTACACCTGCAGCAAAGAAACA